AGAGCAGTCAAGGAAGAGGTTGTGGATATGGATAATTTTGGTGGTCATTAGCCTATATGTTTCACAGTGGTCACTATGAGTTGGGGAGGGGTGGGAAATGACATTAGATTAGTAGATGAGAATCCAGGCAATAAGGTATAATTTAGGAATTGGACTGAAATTAATAGGAATAAAAAGCGTGATAGGATCAATTATGGTGTCTCCAGGTATATTTAATGTTGAGAATACCTGATGTTATAGGCTGACTGTGCTGATGAGAATGTTGCCAGCACACTGGGGCCACCCCTGTGTTTTAAAATAATAAAATTAAACACATAGCCATTTTGCATGGTCAGGAAAAGATGTATTGATCAAAACACTAAGATTTCAAGAACATAAGAATATGAATATACTTAGATATAGTCCAGAATGTAATAAGATACTATGGGGAATATATGGCAGCATCTCTGATACTGCTTGAAAGCCAGAACCCATTTATATCTGCCTTATGAGAACCTGTCAACAGGTTATACATATGTTGAATACGTAAATATTTATTAAACTTTAAAAATTGATTAAAATAATGTGCTTTGGTGATTTCTTATTTTTGCTTTTGGCCAGTAAGACACAGAGGCTATATCGTCTTTCATGTATCTTGTCTTTCCAAAAATTACCAAAGTGATTCTGAGAGCTAGAAAGTATAGGAACTTACTGCTGGGTGCAGTGGCTTGCACCTATAAGAAGGTGGTCCACTAACAGACATAAAGATTGGAGGAGAGAGTTGACTCTGGTGGTGGTATTACTGCTGACAACTGAAGCCAGGAAAAAAGATGAACTCTCACAGGGACAGACCATGAAAAAAGACTAAGGGATAAGTCTTGGAAAATGCTTGTATGTAAGGGAGTGGAAGCAAAAGAAACAGTTAATACAGGATAACAAAGAACTAAATCAGGATAGTATATACAGATGTGAAAAAGAAAGAATAATATTTCAGATAGGAAAAGAGTTTAACAACATCCAATGTCACAGAGTCTGAAGAGAGTGACAAAAAGCAGAACCTCACTGAATTTCACAATGAAGTCATTAGTAATCTGAAATAGCACTAGCATGATGGATATGGATGGAATCCAAGCTGAAGGCAAAAGGGTGGCTAAGACAGGATGATCGTTTGAGCCCAGGAGTTCTGGACCAGCCTGAGCAACATGGTGAGACCTCATCTCTTAAAAAATAAAAATTAGTTAGGCTTTGTAGTGTGCCCCTGTTTTCCTAGCTACTCAGGAAGATCGCTTGAGCCCAGGAATTCAAGGCTGCAGTGAGCTATGATTACACCACTGCACTCCAGCCTGGGTGACAGAGCGGGATACCATCTCTTAAAAAAAGTGGGGGAGACTATAGGAATAGAAACAACAGGACATACATTCAAAAGGAAAACTTAATGCAGGCCCTGTGTTCTATATAGCAATAAAGCGCCATTTAGTGTTTTGGGAGCTGAACTGCCGTTTTTCTACAGCAGTGCAAGTGATACGGGTTTTCCTGTGCTGATTTTGAATTATTTCAGTCTTTTACTGTACATTTTTCTGACTATTGGAGTAATATAATTTTGCAGAAAATTTGGAAAGTACTAAAGAGTACATGAAATAAAAATTACCATAATTCATCACTAAAAATAACTACTTTTGTATTATAATCAAGGGTATTTTCTTATATGTTCATTTATATTATTTCTCTTTTACAAAATTGAGGTTACAGTGTCATGTTCTGTTCACTTAACTATGCACTATGAACATTTTCTTACATCTGTCATCAAACATTCCTCAGTAACATGTTTAATGATTATATAAATGGTTTGATATATTTACTGTAATTTAATTACTCACCTATTGACATTTGGGTTACTTGTTTACTCACTGGCTTTACTAATATAACTGCATTGTAAAGAGGTGAAAATATTTACAGGAGAGTTCACATTTTTTCATGGTACATGAATAAATAGATTGATGCAGCCTTAAACTCACTACTTACCAACTTTTAGTACCAGTTTTCTGTGGACCAAATTTTATGGGAAAATAATAAAACCTCAATAATTTGGAATAACAGGGGCATTGGAAAAAGGCCAATCTGAATTATAGAAATAACTTGTGATGCTTTTCTTATTCATTACTTGTACTTTTCTCTGTACATGTCTGTTTACTTATTACTGCCAAAGTGCTGTGTAACAATATGTGGAAATTAATTTTTCAGAATTTCTAGAGATCTTCAAACATTTTCAGACAATAGAAATGTGGTAGTTGGAAATTTTTAGGTTGATCAGTCTAGACATATTGGACTACTTTACTTTTTTAACTATGAAATATTACAAGTATGCAAAATATACAGAGCAAACTAATGAATATCTGTAATTGCATCACCCCACTTTTCACATCTTAACATTTAAATAGTTGTATTTGCCCGGCCTCTTTTTTTCTTCTTCCAGTTTTTATTATGAAAAATTTAGAAATGTAGAAAAATTGGGAGAATATAATTAATACCTAGATTCAACAATTAACAGTTTGCCATATTTGCTTTAGTGTATGTGTATTTTTGCTGAATTATTTGACAGTAGGTATCTGAACATCATGACACTCTTCCCTTATAGTACATCTCCTAACTTATGGACTTTCACATATATAACCATAATACCATCATCACACTTAAGAAAATGAATGGTAATTTTTCAATATTATGTAATTTTCTGACTTCCCTGGTTGCTCTCAGAGTTCTTTTAATAGCTTTAAAAATTATTTAACCAGGATCCAATTAAGGATCATGCAGTACATTTAGTTGTAATATTTCTTTCATCTCTTAGTCCAGAACAGTCCCTCCAGGCTCACATGTGCTTTCCTCTATGCTGTTGATTTACTTGGAAGAATAAATTTATTAGACAAATTTACTTTCTGTTTGTCTACATCTTTTTGGTTTTATTTAACTTATTTCTTTTTCCTATGTGTTCCCTGTAAGTTGGAAGGTAAAAAGTTTGATTAGATTTAGAAAAACCATTTTTGGCAAAAAAGCTTCATAGGGAATGCCATATACATTTGACCCTTGAACAACATGAGTTTGTACTTTGTGGGCCCATTCTTTTTTTTAGAAATCAGAATTTATTGAGAGGACAGAAAAATTCCCACAGTGGGAGGGGACCCAAGGGGGTTGCCAGGGTTCATTCTTAAATGGATTTTTTTCAAACAAACACGGATTGAAATGCAGATACAGTATTCATGAGATGTGAAATGAAACTGTGGAAACTGAGTGTATGTCCATTTTTTTGTATGGTCGTGGTCTCTGGAACCAAAAAATCTCCATAGTATACCGAGGGATGACTGTACTTCATATTGCATTGAATCATGAGGCATATGATATTAGTTTATCCTACAATGGATGATGCTAAGTTAGATCGCTTGGAAAAGTGGTGACTACTGGATTGCTACAGTGGAAATATGTTTTTTTCTGTAAATTAGTAGTTTGCTAGGTGATGCCTTGGCACCCAGTGGATAAATGACAGTGTTAGAAATTTTCATCTCCATAACCATGTCCAACCTGTGGTCCACTGGCTGCATGCGGCCAAGGACTGCTAATAATGCCCACAAAATCTTTTTTTTTGTTTGAGTTGGAGTCTCACTTTGTCACCCAGACTAAAGTAGAGTTGCAGTGACATGCTCATGGCTACCATAGCCTCAACCTGCTGGGTTCAGGTGATCCTTCCACTTCAGCTTTCCAAGTCCCTGGACTTACAGGCATGCACCACCACACTCAGCTAATTTTTTGATTTGTTGTAGAGATGAGGTCTCACCAAGTTGTCCAGGCTGGTCTCGAACTCTTGGGCTCAGGCAGTCCTCTCATCCACCTCACAAAGTGCTGGCATCATAGGTATAAGCCACCATGCCTGGCAAAATCTTTAAACAGCATGTATTTTTTGGCATTTAGTTTCTTTGTGACCTCATGTGTAGTTATAGTTTTGAAGTTCACAATCATGCCTTATTCATGACATCTCTTTTTGGCAGCACATACATTTGTGAGCAGCTGTTTTCAATTATAAAGCACACAAAGGAAAATTCAAATAAGAACTCTTAATATGTATATACACTATATTATATAATTTATGTGTGGCCCAAGACAATTCCTCTTTACTCGATGCGGTGACAGAGTGATGTGGAGACAGAGTGAGACAAAATGGGGGTCTTACTCTGTCTCCAGGCTGGAGTGCAGTGGCATAATAATGGCCCACCACAGCCTCTACCTTCCAGGCTCAGGTGATTCCTTTTCCTCAACCTCCTGAGTAACTGGAGACTGGAGGGCACTGGCACAATTAAAGCCTTGGCCACCTAGGCCTTAGCCTCCAGAGTAGCTGGGACTACAGGCAAGCACCATTTACATTTTTTTTTTTTTGTAGATCGAGGTCTCACTATATTGTCTAAGAGCGCCTTGAACTCCTGGGCTCAAGCAATTCTCTCGCCTCTTGTCTACCCAAGGGTTGGGGTTACAGGCATGAGCAACCGTGCCCACTACAGTGTAAACAGCATAAAACTGCTGCTGTCACCGAGCAGTCAAAAATGATGTGATGATATGGGCTTCCTCAAACTCAGGTTATTCTTTATTCTAAGATTGTTTCTTCATTTCCTAGATATGGTAGGTTTTCTTATCTTGGTGTCTTTTTTTGTTTGTTTTTCTTTTACTCTTTGCATTGTGTGTAAAAATACAGAAACATAAAAGCTAAATTAGATGCTTCTGTCATACCTAGTTTCCTAATTCTTAGAATAAGTAGGGTTTTGATGCTGAAGCACTCAAAGTAATATTCTGATTTTCATTGTTCACTAGTCTCATGAAAATCTAGTGTAAATCATATAATGGAGAAATGACACTTTAAGTAAGAAAAATGTTGGCTGTATCCTAGTTATAGTGAAATTCTTGAAATGGAAATACCTGTCACCTTTCATATCTTTAATTTAATATCTTTAATACTCTATATTTTTTATTCCTTTAAACAGTTCGTTTTCCTGAAGATCTTGAAAATGATATTAGAACTTTCTTTCCTGAATATACCCATCAACTCTTTGGGGATGAGTAAGTAACTTAGTAAATTGTTTGCCAAATTAGTAGGGCAAAAAAGAAAAAAAAATTCCATTCTTTTTCTTTAAGATTTAGAAATCAGGTTTTATTTTCTTTACTGTTATTTTTATGTAGACTATCTTAAAATATATATTATAATAGTATTTTTGACATTGAGACATCAGTCTATGTACTGCCTTCCATTTAGTGCTATAAATACATTATTTCATTTAATTCTCACAACAGTATTAGCAATGATGTTGTTATTTACTACTATGTGCTTTAGTGGAATTGAGTAATTGCTTAAGAACATATGAATGGCTGGAGGTCAGATTCAAGCAGTTTGACTCTAGAGCCCATAATCATAACTACAGTAATACTCTTTTCTGCCTGTTGTTTTGCTGTACTACTTTTAGTACAGGATATACTCCCCTAAAGCTAGAAAGCTCAAGTTGTTATTCTATGATCAAATAAGCAGTTAAAGGAAGTTTATATTTTAGAAGGAATTTTAACCCTTTGTACTCAGATGTTCCCTCTCAAGAGTCATGAAGAGATTGCTGGTGACTAAACAGGACAAACTTACACAAGTACAAATTTAAAAAAAACATATGTTTCTTTGAAGTTTTCCATTCAAATTGCACAAAAAAGTAATTAAAGTGATGGAAGATATACTGAGATATGATCAATCAGTTGAGAAGTGGTTTTCAGGAATCACGTGTGTGTCCTTACATACTTCAAACAACACACTGGACAATAAATTACATATTATTAATGTGGGAAGAAGAAAAGACTGCATTGTCTACTTGAATAAAAATACTCGGTGGAAGATGTCAAATAAATTACTAATGCACAACATGTATCAATGAGTTTGCAGTGTATGTCAGTTACCGTTTTGCACATTATGTGCTAGAAAAACATAAGATATAAAATTTTAATTTTATTATAAATAAGTTCCTCAATGTCCAAAATTCCATTATAAGCCAAATATCACAATAAAATAGTTCCAGCACTATACTTTTAATATGAAGTGATTCATTTTTCACTATTTTGTTAGGTGATCCATGAGATGTCTCCAAGTGCAAAGGGTTAAAGATGTGTCCTAGGATATTGAGCACAACTCTTTAATTTTCTATACCTGTACTACGTCATTGGAATAGTTAGTTACCATTTCCTTTTTCTTTTTTTTTTTTTTTTTTTGGTCAAAGTCTCACTCTGTTGCCCAGGCTGGAGGGTATTGGCACAATTAGGCTCATCAAAGCCTTGGCCACTTAGGCCTTAGCCTCCAGTGGAGCTGGGACTACAGGCAAGTGCCATTTTCCTGGCTAGTTTTTTTATTTTTTTATTTTTTGAGTTGGAGTCTCACTCTGTTGCCCAGACTGGAGTGCAGTGGCCGCTCCCAGCCACTGCAGCTTCGACCTGCTGGGCTCCGGCGATCCTTCCGCCCCAGCCTTCCGAGCAGCCGGAATTACAGGCATGTACTACCATGCTCGACTGATTTTTTGATTTATTGTAGAGATGAGAGCTCGCCAAGTTGCCCAGGCGGGTCTCGAACCTGTGGGCTCAGGCAATCCACTTACCTCAGCCTCCCAAAGCGTGGGATTATAGGCTGAGCCACCGAGCCTGGCTTTTTATTTTTATTTTATAGAGATGAGGCCTCACTATGTTGCCTGGGCTGGTCTAGAACTCTTGGACTCAAGTGATCCTTCCACCTTGGCCTCCCAAAGTGCTGGGATTACAAGCATGAACCACTGCTTCAAGTGACAATTTTCTTTTCTTTTTTTTTTTTTTTTTTTTAAGATGGGTACAATTCAGGGTTAGGTACATAAATGGCTATTGTGCCATTTTCTTTTTTTTTTTTTAACTTTTGATTTTGAAAAACATTTCAGATTTGCAGAAAATTGCAAAAACAGGGCAGTGATCACTGTATATTCTTTACCAGCATTTACTAGTTAACATTTAGCCACATTTGCTTTAATCATTCTCCTTATAAAAATTTGTTGTTGTACCATTTCAGAGTAGGTTGCAGATATCTCGATCCTTTACCTCTAAATTTTTCGGTATGTGTCTCCTAAAAACAAGGGCAATAATTATGGTAGAATTATCAAAACTCAGGAAATTTCACATTGATACAAAACTGTTTTTAATATAGTCCATGTTTCAGATTTTACCTATTCCCATTCATTCCTTTGTAGCAGTTTTCCCCCATCCTAGATCAAGTCCAGAATCATATTGCATTTAGTTGTCTTCATTCTCCTTTAATCTGCAACAGTTTCTAAGCCTTTGCTTTTTTATAACATATTTTTGTAGCATATAGGCTAGTTTTGTAGAACTCGTATTTTGGGGTGGTTTGACTAATTTTTTCATGATTAAACTCAGATAATGCATATTTATGCAGTACCATTGCAGAAATGTATCACTTCAGGAAGTCCATGATATCAATTTGTTCCATTGTTGGTTAACTTGAGTCACCTAGTTAAGGGGAGTCTGCCAGATTTCTCTACTATAAAGTTAATATTTTTCCTTTTGTGATTTATATGTAATCTGTAAGGAAGTACTCTTAGACTGAAAATATTCTGTTTTTCATCAAATGTTCACCCAATAGTTTTAGCATCCATTAATGATTCTTGCTTCAATTAGTATTTTACTATGATTGTTGTAAAATAGTGATTTTGTAACTCTATCTTACTGTCTAAATTTATTAGTTGGCATTCTACTATAAGAAAGAGCTTCTTTTCTTCCCCGTATTTATGTCTTTGTATATCAGAATAGACTCAAAGATCCTTTTTTAATTCACTGGGATATAATCTGATACTACCTCTAATTTTGATGCTCAAATTATCCCAGATTTGGCAAGTGGCACCCTTTCAGATACTTTTGTGTCCTTTTTTTTTTTTTTTTTTATATGTCCTCATCATTTTGAGGATACTTTCTGGTACAATAATATGTTCCAGATTCATCTGTACTTTCCCTACTATAGTTCGGGAGTTAACCATTTTCCTAAGAACCCTGGTTTGTTGTGGTAGGGAAGGGTATTTAGACATAGTAAACATTTAAAATAATTCCCTTCATGTCTTTTTCTCCTATGCATTTGCATTACTTTAGCATCATTGACATATTTATTTAATATATTTTTAAATTGACAAATATCTCTTCATGGAACAAGTTTTTTGAGAATTTCTCATTATCAATGTATCAAATTAGGCATTTTATGTACTTTTAAATATTAGTAATTGTACTTCATTATATATAGATTCATGACAAAATTTCAGCCTTATACATTTTAAACAGGTTTTATGTTATTATAAAAATAAGAATGTTTTCTCTTTGGATTTTTATTTTTAAGTGGATATTTGTTTTATTCTCTCTCTCTCTTTTTTTTTTGAGTTTGGAGTCTCACTTTGCTGCCCAGGCTGCAGTGCAGTGGCACGCTCACTGCCATTGTAGCCTCTACCTGCTGGGCTCAGGCGATCCTTCTGCCTCAGCCTTCCAAGTAGCTGAAACTACAGGCATACACTACCATGCCCAGCTAATTTTTTGGTTTGTTGTAGAGATGAGGTCTCACCAAGTTGCCCAGACTGGTCTGGAGCCCCTGGGCTCAGGCAGTCCTCTCACCTCAACCTCCCAAAGTGCTGGGATTACAGGCTTCGGCCACTGCACCCAGCTTCCACTTTTTACTAAGAAAAAAATCTCTATAATGTCTTAGTGGATAAGACCTGGTTTTACAGATAGGCTTTCAATGGCATTTTACATATTCACCTATCTTTTCTGCATCATTAAAAGTGGTGTGCTTGCAAACCACTCTTCTAAGGTAGACAGGTGACAGTAACATAATTGTGATAAGTCTGTATCTTCTGACCCAAGCACTGATCCTAATATTATTGATGCTTCTTTCTTCTTCATGTAACTTTCAGAATCCCTAGAATGGACAGTGCTCATATTTTATTTTGGTAACCTAGACAGACATTTGGAAATGACACTACTTCTTTTAAGCGCTCTTCTTTCAGAATTCACTTTTTAAAGCATAAAAAAAGCTTTATTGAAATATATATTGTGCAATTCATTTATTTTAAGTGTACAATTTATTGATTTTTAGTATTTAGAGTTGTGCAGCCATCACCACAATCAATTTTAGAATGTTTTTATCACTCCCATTAAAAAACCCATTACCCATTAGCAGTCACTCCCCTTCACCCCCGCCCCCAGTCCTGGGTAATTACTATATCTGCTTTCTATCTGTGGGTTTATCTATTCTGTATTTATTTATTTATTTATTTTGAGTCAGAGTCTCACTCTGTTATCAAGGCTGGAGTGCAGTGGCATGGGTCATGGCCACCGCAGCCTCAACCTACTGGGCTCAGGTGATCCTTCGTCTCAGTCTTCCAAGTAGCTGGGACCACAGGTGTGTACCACCATGCCCAGCTAATTTTTTGATTTATTGTAGAGATGTTGTCTCACCAAGTTGCCCAGGCTGGTCTCAAACTCCTGGACTCAGGCAGTACTCTTGCTTCTGCTTTCCAAAGTGCTGGGATATTCTGGATATTTTAGAATTCACTTTTTAGAAGACTTTTTTTTTTTGAGTTGGATTCTCAGTCGCCCAGACTGGAGTGCAGTGGTCGCTCCCGGCTACCGCAGCCTCGAGCTGCTGGACTCCGGCGATCCTTCCGCCTCAGCCTTCCAAGTAGCTGGAACTACAGGTGCGCACTACCACGCCCGGCTAATTTTTTGATTTATTGTAGAGATGAGGTCTCGCCTGCCCAAGCGGGTCTCGAACCCGCGGGCTCAGGCAATCCAACTCACCTCAGCCCAAAAAGCGTGGGATTACAGGCTGAGCCACCGAATCCAGCTTAGAAGACTTTTTAAGCTGGAAAAGAGAATAGTAGGGTATAGATGTGATAGCAGGGAGCAGGGTTGGAAAAATTAGCAGCAACTCCAGATCTGCCTTCTAAGTTCATAGAGCAGTTTAAGTGTAATTAGACAGGTGCTGTTTTCAGCAGCTCTGGATGTTGGTGATAGATGCAAGTGGTAAGTTAGAAGGACTGGTTCGAGGCTAGGTCTTAGCTGCCTGTGTAGCTCAGTCCTAGTTTTAACACTACTAGTCTCATTTGTGATGCCTTCTAGTGTTAGTAATAGTAGCAGCGTCAGCAACAGTAGCAGTGATAGTAATGTCTAACATTTATTGAGTACTTATAAGATGTGCCAATATTGTAATTAGTTTACACGTATTAACTTACTTATCTAACCCAAACAGTATTCCTCAGTCAGGCACCATTATTCTCTCTATTTTATGGATGAGAACGAAGGCACACTTTTGTTGCAATTATTTGTTTCTTTTTTTAAAAAAAAAATACAGTTTAAAATCTTGAAACTACCCATAAAGTTAAACTTGTTTATATATACGGTTAATACTTTAATCACTCAGCAAAAATTTTTTATGGTTATTGCTGGTTTTTCCATTTCAGTGAAACTGCTTTTGGATACAAGGGTCTGAAGATCTTGTTATACTACATTGCTGGTAGCCTGTCAACCCTGTTCCGTGTTGAATATGCATCTAAAGTTGATGAGAATTTTGACTGTGTAGAGGTAAGAATAGAAATTCATTTATTTTTAACAGTTTTTCAATTGAGTTTAAAGCAGATTTTAAAAACTAAAGGTTTGAAGGAAGAAACAATGTTCTATGGTAGCTTTAAAATCACATATTTAAAACTGCCTGGGGAAGGGGGGCCACACCTCATCAGCCAGGGTACCTGCACAATGAATATTTGTATACCTAACCCTGAATTGTACCGCACAATTTTAAAATAAAAAAAATTTTTCTTAAAGTAAATGCAATTAACAATAAAAAAATAAAATAAAATCACATATTTAGTTTTTATTTATGGAGGCATTTGCCTCACTATCATTTCAGTTAATCCTGTGATCGCGATCCTGTTCTGTTTCCTGAGTGGACCTTCTCCATAAAAACTTTTGCTTTTATGATCAGAGTTTTATTTTATTTACCAACTTTTATTTTTTTATTCTGGTTATTGAAATTAACTTTTCCTAGAAGTCAAAGATGATGGAGGGAAATACCTAAATTTTCTTTTACTTTATGTAGAAACTATTTGAATTTTTCTTCCTACATTTCTAATCCCACAAATTTTGCTAATAAATTCCTTTATGAACATTACATAAAACTAAATCAAATGAACTAAAAGGTGATGAAGTCAGAGAGATATTAAAGGGTATGCATCTGTGATAAACTGAATAATGGCCCCTGAAAGATACCCATGTCCTATTCTCCGGAACCTGTGAATGGTGCCTCATGTGGCAAAACATTTGCAGGTATAATTAATCTTGAGATTATTCTGAAATATTTGGGTAGGTCCTACATACAGTCATATGTATCCTTATGCAAGGCAGACTGAAGGAGAATTGGTAACAGATGAAGAGGAGAAGGCAGTATGATTACAGAGGCAGAGTGATGTGCCAGACAATGCTTAGCCATTAGAAACTGGAAGAGGAAAAGAATGGATTCTCTTATAAAGCTTCCAGAGGGAGTATAGCACCTTGATTATGGCCCTGGTGATACTGATTTCAGACTGTGCCTCTAGTCTGAGAGAATAAATGTTGCTTTAAGTCCTCAAGTTTGTGGTAATGTGTTAACAGCAGCTATAAGAAACTAACACAAGTTTTCATACCATGAAGTAGGGTGCTGCTATAACAAATTTTGCTACTAAAAATGTAGACATGTCTTGGGAAATGGATGGAGACTGGAAGAATTTTAAGCTACATGACAGAAAAAGCATAGATTCACTTGAATAGACTGTTAATAGAAATATATATGTTAAAGGCACTGCTGGTTAGATCTCAGAATGAAGTTAGGAGTGTGAGAGAGAATATGTATATCATTAACATAATTTTAGTAGATATGTGAACATTAAAGTCCCCTTTAGTGAGCTCTTAGAAGAAAATGAGATCATGTATTTGGAAACTGCAGGGAAGGAGATCCTTGTTATATTGTGGCAGAAAGCCTAGATCAGTTGTGTCCTATAATTATGTAGAAAGGAGAATTCATTGTAAGCAACATACTTGGATATTAACTGAGGAGATTTTTTAGGTAAAGTATTAGAGGTGTGGCCTGGTTTCTGGCTGTTAATAATAAAATACATGGGGAGGGGAGCCCAAAAAACCTCAGAATGCATTTATTAAAAATTCAATCACCTTCAGAGTACTCTTCATGCAATACACCTATTGAGATGCTTTTTTTTTTTTTTTTTTAGTGCTCAAAATAATTTTGAACTTGTCCATTTTGATGCCTTTTAGTGCTTCTGCCGTTTTTTTGTTTCACCTTTTCCACATCGGCAAAATGTTTCCCTTTGAGGATTTTTTTTCATCCAGGTAAACAAAAAAGTCTCTCAGGGCGAGATCCGATGAATAGGGAGGGTGGAGCATGGAGGTCATGCAATTTTTGGTCAAAAACTGCTGAACACTCAGCCATGGCGTAGGCAGGTGTGCTCATAAGTCACCCATTATGAAATGTGCAAACGCGTTGAAAGAATCTCCCCCCAGATTTATTGAAACTGAATGCAGCCTCTCACAATAGCACTAGCTGGTATACTGATGCCGATGGGTTCCTAGAACACTTTCCTAACAGGGGAAGCCTGTGCTACAAGGGGCCCACCCTCCAAAAGATAATTTTGCTTTTGGTGGGGGTGGTTCTCCCTTGTATACAAGGAAAGAGAACTGTTAAAAAAAAAAAAAGAACCCAGAACTTGATGACTTGGGAAATTCTTGGCCTATCCAGATTGCAGAAGATATTAAAATTGAACATTCAGGAAGAGTGCTCTGAAGATAAAACTAAGGGGGTGGTGGAATAACCTTTTGCTTGTACTGAAAGGATTAAGCATATGACTCATAGATCTCAGTCATCTCAACAAAAAGCCAGAAACAGATCTGTCAAAGACCCTCTAGTCTAATGGTGTGAACCCTTAAGACATACAAAGGTGACCCACAAGGGTTTTGAGAATCAAAACTTCCAAGTGCAACTTGGACTGACAGCACAGAAGAAGGCAACTGACAAACTCCCAAAATTCCAGAGGCAGGAAGAGGCTAATAAAACTACTCAGTTGCAAACAGGTGCTACCCTTCAAGAAGAAGGAAGAATGGCTCTAAGGGCAAAGCTTTGGGTCTAGAGGGTGTAGTTGCTGGCCACAGTTAATCCCAAGTCTAGAAGCCTAATGGAATTTGTCATATTGGATTTTGAAACTGCTTTGTACTAGTGACACCTTTCTTCCTTCCATTTTCTCCTTTTTGGAGTGAGGAAATTTGTAACTGTTGTCCTATGTCTGTCCTACTATTATATTTTGGAAGTGATAATTTGTTTTCTAATTTCATAGATTCACTGAGGTTTTTTTTTTAAGTTGTAGCTGATAGCATTGCATTGATTTCTTCCAAAGGAACTACTAACTTAGTTATAGATAAATTTTTCAACAAATACTTCATGCAGTTAAAATAGCTAGGTATTGTACTGACACCTAATTGTTCCATTCTTGAAAATAAAGTTTGCCCATTTAGAAGTACTGTGCTGGAAGCAAGGAATCAATCTTTTATGTTTTTTTGTAGGGTTACTTATTTGCTTTGTGGTCAAAGATCGTTTCTACTAAGTATTAAAAAAAAGACAGCCGGGCTCGGTGGCTCAGCCTGTAATCCCGCGCTTTTGGGAGGCTGAGGTGAGTGGATTGCCTGAGCCCATGGGTTCGAGACCTGCCTGGGCAGCGAGACCTCATCTCTACGATAAATAAAAAAATCAGCCGAGTGTGGTAGTGCATGCCTGTAATTCCAGCTACTTGGAAGGCTGAGGCGGAAGGATCGCCGGAGCCCAGTGGGTCGAGGCTATGGTGGCCGGGAGCAGCCACTGCCCTCCAGTCTGGGCGACAGAGTGAGACACCAACTCAAAAAAAAAAACCAAAACAAAACAAAACAAAAAAACTAAAAAAAAAAGACATTTTTTCTTATTAAAAAAAGGTTGGTTAGTGGATGTGATGGTAATGGGCTTGCCTTTTATATCTCAGTTTGCAATGAATGTTCATTCCACAATGCCTTCTGTGTTCTTGTTCTTGTTGCCGGGCATACAGTGGCAGACAAAAATGAAGTCACTGCTCTCACTGAGCCTTACATTCTCACCAAGCGGGACAGGCAGTAAACAAATAATAAAGCCAGATAGTCTTATGTAGAAACATTTTTCCGGGTTTTTGAACAATGAAGGTAAAGCCAACTGTGTTATAATCTGAGGGAAAAGCTTACTAAGCAAAGGGACCAGCAAATGCAAAGGTTCTGAAAAGATAACACTGGCATTTTTATAGTGCAGAATGATTGATGTGGTTAAATCATTGTGGTGATGGAGAGAGTGGTAGGAGCTGGTTGAAGGGTGTAGCAAAGCTAGATTATGTAGGATCTTCTGTGCCACTGTAAGATATTTGCAAGAAATAAGAGTAGTTGGCAGCTTTTAGGAGTTCGAAGTTGATGTAGTTCATACAGTGTGATTTATATTTTTTTAAAGATAATTCTAGCCGGGCTCGGTGGCTCAGCCTGTAATCCCGCGCCTTTGGGAGGCTGAGGTGAGTGGATTGCCTGAGCCCGCGGGTTTGAGACCCGCCTGGGGAGGCGAGACCTCATCTCTTCAATAAATCAAAAAAAAATTAGCCGGGCATGGTAGTGTGCTCCTGTAGTTCCAGCTACTTGGAAGGCTGAGGCGGAAGGATCGCCAGAGCCCAGCAGGTCGAGGCTGCGGTGGCCGGGAGCGGGCACTGCACTCCAGTCTGGGCGACAGTGAGACTCCAAAAAAAAAAAAAAAAAGATAATTCTGAGCCAGGCTCAGTGGCTCAGCCTGTAATCCCGTGCTTTGGGAGGCTGAGGTGAGTGGATTGCCTGAGCCCGCGGGTTTGAGACCCGCCTGGGCAACTTGGCGAGACCTCATCTCTACAATAAATCAAAAAATTAGCCGCGCGTGGTAGCGTGCACCTGTAGTTCCAGCTACTTGGAAGGCTGAGGCAGAAGGATCGCCAGAGCCCAGCAGGTCGAGGCTGCAGTGACTGGGAGCGTGCCACTGTACTCCAGTCTGGGTGACAGAGTGAGACTCCAACTCAAAAAAAAAAAAAAGATAATTCTGGCTGCTATGCAGAGAACACACTGTAGGGGGCAAGAGTGAAAGAAGGGTTACCAGAACATTGCAATGTTAGAGGTGACACTGGATTTAGTTGTCAGATTGATGATATATTTTGGGTGTTTGCCGTTGAATTAGATGCAATAGATGAGCAAAAAGATCAAGGAGAACTCCATTGCCTAAGCAATAGTGTTACTATTAACTGATACAAGGGAGATTGGAGAAGAAGTAGGTTTAAGTGGAGAAAATAAAAAAATTTTTTTGTATGTGTTTAGGGTATATATTATATCTGAGTTTTTGCAGATCATACTATGTAGCATGATACTAACCATAGGTGGGGAGTAACCATAACAGATCTGCTTAGAAGTTGTTTTCTTATTAGGAATTTTCCCATTGTATTAACCTTTCATCATCAATTTTTTTGTCTTTTCCAAGCTGAATTCTCCAGTTGCGCCTAAAATTCTTTAGTCAAGAAGCCTGTAAAATTTCTCCACTAGCCATCATCTTAAAGGCAACATAACTCTGAATTTTATAATATAATAAGCTTGATTATTCAGACATTGATGATTTGTTCATATTATAGTTGTCCCTGATTTTTGCTTTTATTAATAGCAAAAGTATGCCTTGTGCCCATAATCCCAGCTGTTTGGGAGACTGTGATGGGAGGATTGCTTGAGCCCAGGAGTCTGAAGCTGCAGTGAATTTATGAATATGCCATTGCACTCCAGCCTGGGAGACAGAGCAATACCCGTCTCTAAAAACAAAAAACAAAAAATGTCCTGCCCTCTCTTGGGATAATTTAATGCTTTTTAAGTGAAGGGGTATGTAACTAAGATGGTTTAGTCTTAATAATTGCTGGCATTTCTGGGAAATGTTTTGTAGGCGAAGTTAAAATATATGGATAAGGGTTGTAGTATCTGAATTTTTATCATTTTATCCTTGTTTTCCACTAATATGGATTGAATTTGTGAGTAGATGAGAGCATATTTAAATTTTTTTCTGAGGTCTTTAGCATCTTTATAGGAAATCCTACATACGTAAAATTTAATCTTGAAAAAATGAAATAGTCTTTGGTAAACTAGTAATATTTTGTTATACTTTAAAAAATAATTTTGACAGTGGATTTTTGTTTTGTTTTGCTTTTTTGAGTTGGACTCTCACTCCATCGCCCAGACTGGAGTGCAGTGGCACGCTCATGGCCACTCCAGCGTCGACCTGCTGGCTCAGGCGATCCTTCCACCTCGGCCTTCCAAGTAGCTGGAACCACAGGCGTGCACTACCATGCCCAGCTAATTTTTTGATTTATTGTAGAGAATGTGGTCTTGCCAAGTTGCCCAGGCTGTTCTTTAACCCGTGGGCTCTGGCAATCCCCTCACATTGACCTCCCAAAGTGCTGAGATTATAGGCTTGAGCCATCGTGCCTGATCTTGGCAGTGTTCTTGATGGATAATACTTTTTGTGGAGTATCATGAAAAGCTTTAAAGTTATATATTGACAGTATTATCTCATTTAGTTCAGGTAGCAAAACACTAATGCAGTATAAACAAATATAATATGACCTTTGTTTTTCCATTAGTGAGAAACTTCACAGTTTAAATTTCTCTAGCATTACTCAGATTTCTATAACTAAAGCTTAAATATTGTCAGAGAACATGAGATTGAGCAAATTAAGAAGATATAGGGTTAGGTGCAGTAGCTCACCCTGTAATCCCAGCACTCTGGGAAGCCAAGGAGAGAGGATTGCTTGAGCCCAGGAGTTCAAGACTAGTCTAGGCAACATGGCAAGACCTTATCTCTACAAAAAATTTAAAAAATTAGCTGAGTGTGGTGGCATGCACCTGTAGTCCTAGCAACTCAGGAAACACAGGCCAAAGGATTCAGGCTATAGTGAGCCATGACCCACACTGCATTCCAACCTGGGTGACAGAGTGAGACTCCAGCTTCAAAAAAAAAAAAGGGATATAGAATTTCTTGTTTTGTAGCATACTTTAGCATATTTTAGGTATTTTTAGAATTATGGTTAATGTTAAGTCTATATGCCACTTTAGCCAAGTATAGAACTGCGTGTACCACCTAGCATGACTTTAACTGCAACCTCAAAAATAACTCAATATAGATTAATTTAGACAAATGGTGCCTGATATAGTTACTTTTACACTTTCCTTTTTTAAGAGAAATTGCCAAATGTTAAGAAATCATTTGTAAGGGATGTCTCTATTAATTAAATATATCAGGTTGTATTCTGGATTCCTGATCTATTTAACTTAATTTCTTATCCTTTCTATAACTATATTTCTATATAATTTAAATTGAAGTTTAGAATAGTGTTTTAGAAGATAGGGAATTTTTTAGTGGTCTTCAGAAATAGAGTCTAAACTTTTAGCTGCAAGCATTGGAACAGTTTCAGTTCATTTTTAACTCTGTTCAATTAAAAACTATTAAATAGGGGTTTTCTCTTGTTATGATTGTATTATCTGAACAGCAATCCAATATGAAAAGTGAGTATTTTAAATTTAACTGAAGTATATATTTTAGAAAATAGTACAGATTTCTAAGACATGATGGTTATAGAATTTTTTTTTAAAGCAGGCACCATTGAGTAGAGAAATGCCAGATACACATCTATGTGTATAAATTTTTACATATAAATACTTACATAAATATACAGAGAGAGATTCTTTGCTTTTTTTCTTTTTTCTTTTTTTTTTTTGAAACAGGATTTATTGAGAGGACAGAAAAGTTCCCACAGTGGGAGGGGACCCGAGGGGGTTGTCCAATTCATTGCTTTTAAACATAGCCCTTTTCACCTATTAAAGCTCTTAATGTATAAACTCGCACAAAGCAAAATATTTTATGTAAAGATATTTATTGCAATAAATGCTATTCTTTGAAGGCTGATAGTTAAATGTTAACTCTTTTCCAGCTTTGTTAAGCTCAAGCCTTTGGGTTGCTCTGCTTTCCACCAGAATTGCCACTAGAAACTTACAGTCTCTTAGAAATCTTTGAAGTAGCTCTGCTGCAAGATATGTAAAGTGATTTGATCATGTTTTGCAATGCCTTGTCAAGAAGACTGGACATAAGGAGTGTTTCTAAAAGAATTATACATGCTATAAATGTCTTGAAGTGATTTTTTTTAATTAAGAGTATACATTTTTTAAACGTAGTTTTTCTTGACTTTTTAAAAACCTGAACTAATACTTTACTCATCACTACTTTGTATTTTGATTGCTATACAACAGACCTATTACAACAGTCCCTCACTATAACAGTTTCCTCATGTAGTTATTGAAATTGCATTGATCCTGTAAAATATGCTTAAATGGCCTCTTCCCATTAGCAGTTTCAAGGAAAAATATTTATCAAATAGTACTTTAAAAATAAAAAAACAGTTCTAATAAAATTTAGTTTATTTGATCTTGAGGGTGAGTGAGTTGTAAGAACTAATGTCCATATTAGAAATAAACCGTTGGGCAAAATACTGAAGGAGCTATATTTTAAATAATAGTTCTTTTTTTTATAGCTACAAACAAATTATATGTAAATGTTGGTGGTACCAGAGCATTGAAAATAAAACTTGTTTGTGATAAACTCCATTCTTGGTTCTCTATCCTAAAATGTAACTGAATAATAATAAAGTGCTATTCATCTGCAGGTGCATTGCTTCTACTTAGTTAAAAGATGGTTGAAAGGACAGGAATTAGTAGCATGTTGTATTAGCCTTTTGTAGTGTATTTTGTCCTAAGCATCTTAATTTCCCTGTTTTGAATGCTAAGTAGCAAGGGTCTTGGTTTAGAACTAATACCCATCATGCATGTAAACGGTATGAAAGAGCTGCTTAGTAAGTTAACACAAAGTGTTCTTGTGTCAGTCCTTGTGGAAATAGATACAATACAAACATTACAGCTGAACTCACGGCAAACTCCATTAAGTAAAAACCTGGCCTCATTGTTCAGGAAAAAGTTTGAATAGAATGCAAGCTCATTTTGTTGAATGTAATGTCAGGCTTTTAGGGACTGTATTGAGGGGTAAGGTTTTGTTAAGTTGAGACCAATTCATTAAGTTTTATTGCCTGGTGAGAAGCAGTAATACTTTATTGTAAGACTTCATCAAATATTCATGGTTAAAGAGAAGTAGTAAATGTATTCAATCAAGTGGTCTTTTGGGTTTTGAAAAGGATTATGAAGTCTGCTCAGCTGATAGTTTTAACATTCATAGAGGTTGCTTAACAAGGGTAATTTTAATCCCTGAGTTTAATTTTGTTGTCCAGTCTTGTCTCTTTTTTACTGTGTCAAATCTGGGTCTGTAAAAATTTTGTCACATTCTGAGGATAAGTGGATAATATATCTATTCATATAATTTATGTATTCCCTAAGTGGGTGTATTTTTAAATTATCATCTTAGTTTGAGTTTGGCATATGAGGGAGTTGTGACCTGTCTTCTTGTTCATTGTGAGAATGCTATTCATTTAGTCAGATTTTAGTCTCACCTATTTCTGGTACTCTTTTCATGTCTTGGATAATATGATTTCTTTGACACACAAAAAATAATAAGCAACCTTTTGTTTTGCCCCGTTTAGATGGTTATGAAAGGATATAGTCAGCATTTTCTGCATCATGTTGGAAATTCCAGTAGCATTGCCCTTGTTCTTACACTGGATATCGCGCTACATGCCTTCTCTTACTTTTTTATACTTATACTCATCTCACCTTTGTGTGACACTAGTTTCTGCATGAAACTCATTCTTTTCTAGTATACTGCGTTTTTATTTTTTTAATATAGTTTTTAACTCAAGTCTTGTAATTTTTGTTAGTTTGGCCATTTCAAAGAATTAAGCATGTTCAAATAAGAGTCAAATTTGTTATTAATTTTTAATGTCCTTTATCTTCTCTTCTTTAGGCAGATGATGTTGAGGGCAAAATTAGACAAATCATTCCACCTGGATTTTGCACAAACACGAATGATTTCCTTTCTTTGTTGGAAAAGGAAGTTGATTTCAAGCCATTTGGAACCTTACTTCATACATACTCAGTTCTCAGTCCAACAGGAGGAGAAAACTTTACCTTTCAGATATACAAGGTAAAGATAATCTAAATCTTTCTTGTGTAAAAGTTACTCTAGTTGCCTGAAGCCTGTATGCAATTTTGTTATTTTCAGTGATTTATTCTAACTTCAGAAAACAAATTTTTATCAGCAATATAAACAAAGATTTAATTTGTGTGTGTCTGTGTCTATGTACACATCTTAATCTGAGACTTCCTAACATTTTCCCATAGGATAGTTTTGTGTTCTGCAGACTTTCACTTACCTCTGTGATGAGTTTCACCTGACTTTTCCTGGCTTTTTCCCTAGGCTGACATGACATGTAGAGGCTTTCGAGAATATCATGAAAGGCTTCAGACCTTTTTGATGTGGTTTATTGAAACTGCTAGCTTTATTGACGTGGATGATGAAAGATGGCACTACTTTCTAGTGTAAGTACAGTTCTAAAGCAATAGTAGACCTTATTACCTCCACAAAGCCAGCATTTTAATTGTGGCAGCCCAATTATTGGGACAGTATAATGATATTTTTCCCAGGAAAGAAAAACTATTGTTTATGAGGCTTGAGTTTTCCTTCATTATGCTTTGGGAGACCTTGAGAATAGAGCTGAATTAAATGCTGTTGTCTGTTAGGGCCCTGAATGTAGGCTTAAACAGTAAAATGAGCTTTGCCTGTGTTTTCTTTTACTTGCCACCTATTCATCTTTATAATAGGCAAGTGCACTGAAGTGATGTAAAGAGGTCTGATTTATCCAAGTTGCTGCACACCAATTAAGTGAATTGTACATTCAGAACATAGCAGGTGTACCCATTGGGCCCTCACAGAGTAGCTTGCTGACACTGAAAATTCAGTCAGAGAATGGAAAAGAAAATGGACACTGCATGGGAGCGCGACTGTAATTGACCTGCTTGGCTTTCTGTTTTATCTGCAGATTTGAGAAGTATAATAAGGATGGAGCTACGCTCTTTGCGACTGTAGGCTACATGACAGTCTATAATTACTATGTGTACCCAGACAAAACCCGGCCACGTGTAAGGTAATTGGCAGTATAACACGTGCCTTGTCTTTTATTTCAGAAGAAGGAACTGCTGAAGTTTCTAATACTTGTTATAATAGTGTTGATTTGTTTAAAAAAAATCACCATTATTCATTGGCTATGTACTGATTTATTTCATTGTTCCCTTTGAAACAGTTTGGATGATTAAACCAGTTTTGAATATCTCAACAATTTTTGGATTTCTCAAAGGTTGATTGAAAAATAAATCACACAAACTTTAAAATGTTTGTAATACTATAGCAATTTTTAAACTGGCCATGTTTTGATATTTTGAAATAATTTTTTTACTGTAGTCAGATGCTGATATTGACTCCATTTCAAGGTCAAGGCCATGGTGCTCAACTTCTTGAAACAGTTCATAGATACTACATTGCATCTCCTTCAGTTCTTGATATTACAGGTACGTAAAATTTGATTTGTTGCTGAAAGAGTCTTCCTAGAAATGACTGCTTTATTAATTGATTGTTTTTGTCAGAAATAACTATTTTATTTTAAACAGCAGCGTTCTTCTGGGGTCTTTTTGGAGCTGTCTAAAGGTGGCTTAAGGTTCCATTTTTGTTTTTTTTAAGAGATGGAGTCTTGCTATTTTGCCCAAGATGATCTCAAACTCCTGACCTCTAACAATCCTCCCTGCTTGGCCTCTTAAATTGCTGGGATTGTAGGTATGATCTATCACGTCTGGCCAAGGTTACATTTTAGATCATAAGCCCGTTTCCAAGTGTGAAGTGCTTAAATGGAACACATTGAAGCTAAATACATATGAGGAAATCTTGGTAGGCATATGTTGCAGATATGGTATAACTTATTTGTTCAGTTTATTTGAACAACAGTTACTTCTTTTTAGAGGCTGTCCATTCTTTAATTTTCATGTAGGGGCGGGATATTTGTAAACTTTACTGAGAAAACAACGTCAGAGTAAATGGTTCCCGAATAGGATACACATTTCCTAAAGTGTATGTTTTATATTCCTAAAAGGCATGCCTTCACACCAGTAGATAAGGTGAAATGTAGGCCTATTTGTTTTGGAAATGTCTTTCTATGGATTAGCCATAGAAGTAGTATGAATAGAATGCTTAGGAGAAGGAAAGAGACTCGACTCTAGTCTTTAAAAGGAAACTCATTGGATGGAGTTTCAGATGATAGGATGTTAACATGTGAGCCACCAAAGAATAAAGTGGCCCAAGGAACACTTATATTATGATAATTTTGTCCCCTCTGAGTAACTGTTTTGCTCATAAAGTTGCTGATTAAATGGAAAGTTACCCTTTTCTTTTCATGAAAAATACTTCCAACAGATATTTCCAAATTTGATATTAAGATTTATTAATTCTATGAATTTTACTTTGAATACATCTTTGTTTTAAAACTGTAATATTAATATTTAACATGAACTAAAATGTTAGCTTGTTAAAAAATGGTATTTGTGAATTTTATTTTGTCAATTTAAATTTGTCTTTTTTGTTTAAATACCAAAACAAAAATGTGTGACTAGCAAGCATATAAATAGGCTAGTAGGCAGATTATCAGTTTCTTCCCTTTTAATATAGTATAGTGGTCCAAGGTAAATAAAATTGAAGTTGTTTGAGAACAATGAATTGATCTATAGATTAATAAACTGGAAGGGGAAAGCATTTTGTTTTTAAAAAGGAGTTCCATATTTATAGAGTTGAATTGGCTTTTCATCTTACTTTCCTGTTATTGTTGAAATGGGTTGGAAACTTAGAAGATGAAGTAATTACTAAACTTAGTTTATAACAAAAGTTATAAATTGTTTAAGTGACACTTTCATTAGTTTAGTGACTTGTGAAATTATAGAAATATAATACAATATCACTTATTTCTGTTCAGCTGAAAATTGTTTAGCTTCTATTTACTTATAGAGCTTGGACTTAGTGTTACAATGAAGGGACATTTTTGGTGATTTTAATCTGGAGTTCACATAAGTAGTCTTTGTCTATTCTAGTGGGTAATGTGCCAGCAGGGGTTGTTTCTCTGAAGCCTCTTAACCACTTTCTTCTGTCTACTCCAACCAATAAACCCTTGATACTTAGCACCAATTAGCAGATAAAGAATTTTATTTCTTAAATCTGAGTGAAGAGTCATCAATAATGGTAGCCTTTATTCGTTGCTGTTATTCATTAGAAACTGAAGTCTCTAAAGAGAAAAGGCTAAACATGCTAAAGGACTTCTGAATTTGACAACTGGGTATTGGCCTTTATTTTTAGCATTAACATTTCTCAGCATTATAAAATACTAAAAATTGTTTTATCAGCTGTTTTTATTAAGATATTTCTCCTAAAAAAATATATTTCTCCTAGATTTTCATACCCAGTCCTTAAAAAACAAAAAAACTTAAAAGAATTTTTTTAGTCTTTAGTTATTTTAGTTTATTTCTTTATTATTTTGTGTATTTTTTAACTTTGTAGATCTTTAGCAGACTCCCTTTGCAATCCAGGGTATTCTTCATATTGAGATGGCTTTTTTCTTGCTTGACATATAGTCAGATATGGTGATAATGGAAACTTACCATAGGTGGCCTATATCTTACTTCTGATAGGTGTTTGTAGTGTAATCGGCTATTTTCTTTTTATAGCATTCAATTTTAAGGTGAAATACTAGCAGATAATTCTTTATATTATGTACTACCTTCCTTTTGAGGATGTCAGTCTCTTAAGATTTAGCATTTGGATATATCCCAGTTGTGTAACCACATAAATAGAAGCAATGATTCGTTTCCTCTGAAATTCTGAAAAGAGATGCATTTATCAATACAAATTGATTCTGGGCTAGGATATGTATATCAGTATTATTACATATCAGTAGTATATTAAGAGCTAATTTATCCTTTAAACTAATCTTTCTGGGATGTGTTATATAGCTTTTCAGAATATATGTGAATTTTTTATACTTGGGTGATTTATTGTGTCATCTCATTTTCCTTCTTTAGAGTATGTTTTTTCTATCTTTAGAGAGACTTTTAAAAAAATGATTGTTAAATGATGTAATTTGGGAAAAAAACTCAGTTTTTATTTTTTTTTGAGTTGGAGTCTCACTCTGTCGCCCAGACTGGAGTGCAGTGGCCACTCCTGGCCACCACAACCTCGACCTGCTGGGCTCCGTGATCCTTCTGCCTCAGCCTTCCAAGTAGCTGGAATTACAGGTGCGCACTACCACGTCCTACTAATTTTTGATTTATTGTCGAGATGAGGTCTCGCCAAGTTGCCCAGGTGGGTCTCGAACCCGCGGGCTCAGACAATCCACTCATCTCAGGCTCCCAAAGGCGTGGGATTACAGGCTGAGCCACCGAGCCTGGCAAAAAACTCAGTTTTTGATCCTGCATATTACTGTAGATTTATATTCTAGCAAGTTTCATACTTTAATGTATTGCTTATCTTTGTAGTATAGAAACAAAGGAATTGAAGAGTGTCACAAAATATTGGGTGTCACTGTTTTGAGTTCATTTCAGGCTAACACTGTTAAAGAGCTTAAAGATTGAGCAGTGATTTGACCCCCTATATTAGGGAGCAAACAAAGTATCAGTCTATAACAGCTTATTTAAAATTTTTGCGTAGTTTTTTTATTTAAAAGAAAATTTCAGGTAAGAATGTAGCATAAGCTTTTAAATTTTCTCAACTATAACTGGTTTTTCCATGATACTTTTTTCTCTAAACTTTTCTTAAGGTATATAAGTTATTTAAGATTTTGTGAATATTAAATTTTATTTTAAATCAACTTTACCGTACAGTTCTTTTTTCTAAACCAATTTAGAAAGAGGTGAACCTTGAAAAACTCACACTGAATAAGCTTTGTACCTCATCTATTCGTATTTTTTTAAATGTTTTTAAAGAGATGGTTGATTAAGAGTTTGTTGCTTAGTAGAATGTTTAATTAAAACAACTTTATTGAGGTATAATTTCCATACCATAAGATTTATATTAAGTGTACAGTTCAGTGATTTTTAGTAAATCTGCAACCATCAGTGCAGTCCTTTTTTAGAACATTTCTGTCACTATATAAAGATCCCTCATATCCATTTGTATTTGGTACCCATCCCCACAACTTAACCTCCATTGAGGTCTTTGATCTATTTTGAGCGATTACTGTGTATGGTGTGAAGTGTCTAAATTCATTTTTTTACATGTGGATATCCAATTGTTCCAGTATCATTTGTTGAAAAGAATGTCTTTTCTCATTGAATTGCCTTGGAACTTTTGTTGAAAGTCAGCTTACCATAAATGTGAAGGTTTATTTCTGGACTCTCTTACGATCTGTATGTCTGTCCTTATGCCAGAACCAGACTGTCTTGATTAGATTGCTACAGCTTTATATTGAATTTTGTTGTTGTTTTTAAAATGATAGTATCAAGTTTAATCTGCCAAATACACAAGTTGAATTTGTGGACCATGTTTTGCCTGGGTACTACAGAGTAAACAGAAGTTTCTTGAAATGATTGATGGTGGTAGGGTTAAAAATGGGCCTGGCCGAGTGGGTAGGAATGGAACATGGAAGGGTAGAGACACAAGATCTCAGAGAAGACTGGCTGGGGGATAAGCCATGACTCTCATGGACACAGGGATACAGATTCTCAAAGGACAGCTCCTCTCTGCATCCAAGCAACACAGACTGGGACTGAATGTCACCTCATAAGCAGCTAATCCCTGGCACAACCACCCCCAAATGTACAATCTACCTGACAAATGGAAGCACTTCTTAACCTTGCCTTCTAAGCACTCTCCCACCCCTTTTAGGGTTCTGAATTCTATAAGCAGTTAAAAAAAAAAAACCGTTCAAATGGATCTGGACAGGCCAAAGGCGATATCAAGAAGGGATCAAGAAGTCATTGAAGAAAGAAACCAAAGATGCTATCTGCATCTTTCTGTCTCAAAGATGGCAGCTGCCCACCTGCAAGCCTCCCCCACCTTCTCAAATGTTTCTGGCCAAAATGAAGAGGAGGCCCCAGGCTCTGGGATCTCCTAGCTGTAAGGGGCTGCTGCAGTGGTACCAGGGCACAGGATGGGCAAGACACAGCAGAGATCTTGGCAGCATGGCCCAGTTCCATGGTATCTCCTCCTATAGGTCATGTTTAGTTTTTTCAGGAAGAGTGACTGCATTCACTTTCCTGACAAAGATGAATCATCTTTTGCTTTCCTTTCTTCTTTCTTCCTTATGGCCTCTTCCTGCTATTTCCAGATAATTAACTGCTGTGACTTCCCAGCAAAATACAGCTCAATGTCTTCTCATTCTTTTCTTGAAATCTTTGGCCTATCCAGATCTAGTTGTGGAAACTTCCTGGTTTTCTGTGCCACCCAGTTGTGTTTCTTGATGTCAACAAGCCCTTCTGTGCCTTTGTGCTTTTCCTGGCAGTCATCTTAATTCTTACTCTTGTCAGACGCTACACATTTCTTCTTTTTGGGGTCACCTGCAGTTTCATCTCCTCTCTCTTCTTTCTCCTTTTCCCTGGTCATC